TGGGGGAACAGAGACTGGAGATGTTTGTGGAGATACTTTCAAGGAGTTAGAAGGACAAACCTCAGATGAAGAAGGGAGCAGACTAGAAAATGATTTCTTGGAAATAACAGATGAGGATAAGAAAAAATTCTCAAAGAACAGATTCAACAAATATAAGGAAGTTGGGGAACATCCACGTCTGTCCTCCAGTCCTGCTGAAAATGAAGAAATTTTAAAGGGACAGAAATCCTATCAATGTGATGAATGTGGCAAAGCTTTTAATCGGAGCTCTCACCTTATTGGCCATCAGAGAATCCACACTGGAGAGAAACCCTATGAGTGTAATGAGTGTGGGAAGACCTTCAGGCAAACCTCTCAGCTCATTGTTCATCTCAGAACCCACACGGGGGAAAAACCCTATGAATGCAGCGAGTGTGGAAAGGCCTATAGGCACAGCTCCCATCTTGTTCAACACCAGAGACTCCATAATGGGGAGAAACCCTATAAATGTAATGAATGTGCAAAAGCCTTTACACAGAGTTCCCGACTCATTGACCACCAGAGAATCCATACTGGGGAGAAACCTTATGAATGCAATGAGTGTGGAGAGGCATTCATTCGAAGTAAAAGTCTTGTTCGACATCAGGTTCTGCACACTGGTAAGAAACCTTACAAATGTAATGAGTGTGGGAGAGTGTTCTGTTCCAATAGAAATCTCATTGACCATCAGAGAATCCACACTGGAGAGAAGCCTTATGAGTGTAGTGAATGTGGCAAAGCCTTCAGTCGGAGTAAATGTCTTATTCGACATCAGAGCCTCCACACTGGGGAAAAGCCATACAAATGTAGTGAATGTGGGAAAGCCTTCAATCAGAACTCTCAACTTGTTGAGCATGAGCGAATTCATACTGGAGAAAAGCCTTTTGAATGTAGTGAGTGTGGTAAGGCATTCGGTCTGAGTAAATGTCTTATTCGGCACCAGAGACTTCACACCGGTGAAAAGCCCTATAAATGCAATGAGTGTGGAAAATCCTTCAATCAAAACTCACACCTTATTATACACCAGAGAATTCACACTGGTGAGAAACCTTATGAATGTAATGAGTGTGGGAAGGTATTCAGTTATAGCTCCAGCCTTATGGTACATCAGAGAACCCATACTGGGGAAAAACCTTATAAATGCAATGATTGTGGGAAAGCTTTTAGTGACAGCTCACAGCTTATTGTGCACCAGAGAGTGCACACTGGAGAGAAACCTTATGAATGTAGTGAGTGTGGGAAGGCCTTTAGTCAGCGTTCCACTTTTAATCATCACCAGCGAACTCATACTGGAGAGAGGCCCTCAGGTCTGGGTTGGTCAGTTTCTTAAGGTATGGTTCTCTGAGACAGAGAGCAAGGACCTTAGAATTAAGCTTTCTTTATAAGAAGCATGCTCACATTGGTTTCCCGGAGCCACTAGTCACAGTGACTCCCTACTTGCTTATCCTTGGATCACTAAGGTAGGAGAGTAGGAGTAACTTATTCCAGTTCTTACCCACTCTTAGGAAGATAAGGACTACACATGTCATTTAATTGTAGGTTTCCTTTTTTTTTCTTTATTTTTAAATTTTAACTATTTTAAAATCTATTTCATTTCTTAGTTATGCATCTTAAAATCAGACTCCGTGCTTTTCAAAGACAGAGGTAATATCTTCTGTATTCTATCCTACCTCCTCCATTTCACCATTTATACAAAGCCATTCAGTAAGGCTGATTCATGCTTTCCTGCCTCTTGGCTGTGGCCCTCCCCATCTACTCTTTAAACTTTAATCTATAGCTTTTCATTGCTTTCATTCCTTATCTAGGAAACGTTTTCTTCTGTTTGCAAATCTTTGTCTCTCACAATTTTTGAAATCCATCTCATCTCTTAAATACTTTCTTCTTCAAATGCTTCTTTATTTTTCTTCAACTTCTCTTGATTTGACCTCAATGCTTTGAATTTACTGGTGCTACAATATGTAACTGTTGTTAAATTGCCTTGTAAATTTTGTGTGTCTGTATACTTTTATAATAACTTGTTATAGGCTCTTTGAGGTCAGGTATGTATTTCTTTCCAATATAGATAGTATTTTGTACACTCAGTTGTTAAATAAATAATTTTTAAAATCTCAACTCTCATATTGAATTATCCTTAAAGTATGCACAATCTTTCTCCCCTTCCCAGCTGACTAGATGCCTCTTTTTTTGTTTGTTTTTGAGATGGAGTCTCGCTGTGTTGCCCAGGCTGGAGTGTAGGGGTATAATCTCGGCTCACTGCAACCTCCACCTCCCGGGTTCAGGTGATTCTCTTGCCTCAGCCTCCCAAGTAGCTGGTACTACAGGTGTGCACCACCACGCCCAGCTAATTTTTGTATTTTTAGTAAAGACAGGGTTTCACCATTTTGGCCAGGATGGTCTTGATCTCTTGACCTCATGATCCTGCCTTTTTGGCCTCCCAAAGCGCTGGGATTACAGGCATGAGCCACCACGCCGGCCAGGACTAAATGCTTTGAAAGATGGAAGTCCATCTCATCATAGAATGTCATATACAGAGATCTCATTCATATCTTTTGCATGTACTCCTGGAAGCCTTACTACTGTTACTTTAGCCTCAAAATGCAAATAGTTTTGTGCATGTGTGTTTGTGTGTGTGTGTGTGTGTATATTTGTATGTCTGTGAAAAAGACGTGTGTGTGTGTGTGTGTGTTTTTGTGAATGTGTGTGTATCTAGGTATTTAGTTGGGCAGTCATATCCCACTGATATGGACTTTGCCCTCCATGCTAATTCTAGTTCTGAACTTGCTGACTGTACTCTGCTTCCTAAATTAACAGATTAAGAACTGTGTCAAAATTTACTGCACAGAAGAGTTGACTTTCATAGCAGTGGTACAGATGATTGAAAATCCAGCTGGCAGCATTCCCTGATGTTTGGAATTCACTATGGTGAGGCTTGTGGCAAGACAATAGAGTCACAGTAATCTGTTTTCCTTATTAATTAGTACTATCTACCTACAACTGCCATCTTAATTTAAAGATAAGAGCTGTACTTTTAATTATTATAATTGTCTTCTGAACCATCTTTTATTCCCCAAAGACATAAGAAAATAAATCTCAGCAGATTTTCTCTCCTTTTGCCATCACAGGTCAGTCCGTGAGCTTTAACAACTTTTCCCTTCCACCCTTGCAATATGGCCCAGATCTAGGGAACCTTTGCCTCTGGTGTTCACCAGTTCTTTTTCCATCCCCTAAACTTATCTTAATAGGTTGACAGCATTTGCAATGTGACCGAGTAGTGGAGGAGGCTAGAGGAGCCATGTCAGTTATGTAATCTGGAGGGGAGATTTTGTGAGGTGTAGTGTATGTCTTGACATAGAAGAAAGGGTGGAATTGAGGCATAAGAAAATAAGATTAGATGTGATTCTAAGGGAGACATCTCAGACAAGTTTAGAAAGAATAATAGGAGTCCAGAAAACATTATTGAACTCAGGACACAACTGAAAATTTGCCACTGATGAATATATATTTTAAATTTGTTTTCAACTATATATTTGGTATGTGTTTCTGTTTTCCTTTTGGAAGATATGCCAATGAGACTTTTCATTGTTTTAATTTGGAAACTCCCAGATCCCATGGAGAAGCCCAACCCTATATGAGCACATGGGTCCAGCTCTCCACCCTGAGTTGGATGTTTCTGGTTAAGTCTTCAATATAAAGATCCTGCCCGTTAGGTGCTGCAGTTTTACCTTCTGGTTCTTCTCTGCTCATCGCCTACCACACTAACCCTCTAGATGTTGGGAACCTGCACTCTTCATAACTAAGGTGGGAATAGTAGGGAAAAAAGAGTAAATGTGGGGAATACTACACCAGTCTGGTGTAGTTTTCATTAAACATGACTCCCTTGACATCCTTGAAAGCCTCAGGCTTTTGGATAGAGGAAAATTGGCTGCATTTGAAAGCCATACCTCAAATTCTATTGGTTATTGCTAGTATAAACTTAAAAAAAAAATTAAAATCCAAATTGTTATGTTGCTGAATTATTTTTAGTTTTAATTGTTTTTCAGTTTCATTTTCTAGGTATATAATAAATTAATGGCTCCTTTAGGTTTTAATTTTCTTTTTTTTTCTGGGAGACAGGGTCTCAATTTCTTGCCCAGGCTGGAGTACAGTGATGTGACCACAGCTCACTGCAGCCTCAACTTTCCAGGCTCAGGTGATACTCCCACTTCAGCCTCCTAAGTAGCCAGGACTATAGACACATGCCACCATGCCCAGCTAATTTTTTGTATTTTTTGTAGAAATGGGTTTTCACCATGTTGCCAAGGCTGGTCTTGAACTCCTGGGCTCAAGTGATCCCCCTGTCTTGGTCTACAGTAGTGCTGAGATTACACATGAGCCAGCCTTATTTTCAATCTTATGTCACTTATGTTGTACCTTAGCAAGAACTTCCAAAAATGTTCAGTAGTATGGATAAGAGGGTCATCTATATCTTAAATCTCAGAAGGGATGTTTTTAGTATTTCACATTTTCATTTGCATTCATTGTTGGATACCAATAAATATTCTGTTGCATTTAGGCCGTTTCCTTCTAATCTTATTTCTAGAAGAAGCAGGGTAATATAGTGGTTAAGAGCACAGATTTGGGCTGGGCATGGTGGCACATGCCTGTAATCCCAGCACTTAAGGAGGCTGCGGGTGGATTACTTGAGGTCAGGAGATCGAGACCAGCTTGGCCAACATGGCAAAATCCCATCTCTACTAAAAATACAAAAACTGACTGGGTGCGGTGGCGAGCACCTGTAATCCCAGCTACTTGGGAGGCTGAGGCAGGAGAATTGCTTGAACCTGGGAGGGGGAGACTACTGTGAGCCAAGATTGCACCATTGCACTCCAGCCTGGGGGAAAAGAGTGAGACTTCATCTAAAAAAATAACAACAACAACAAAAAAAGCACATGTTTTGTTCCCAGAAATTCTGGGTCCAGTCAGATGTGGTGGGTCACACCTATAATCCCAGTGCTTTGGGAGGTGAAAGGAGGAGGATCACTTTTTCAGTTTAGGAGTTTAAGACCAGCCTAGGCAACATGTCAAGACCTTGTCCCTAAATAAATGAATAAAATATTAGTGGGGTGTATTGGTGCATGCCTTTAGTCCTAGCTACTCAGGAGACTGAGGAAGGAGGATTGCCTAAGCCTGGAGGTTGTGGCTCCAGTGAGTTATCATCACACCACTGCAATCCAGTCTAGGCAATAGAGTGAGACCATGTCTTTTAAAAAAGTCTGCATGTCCACCACTTTGTTAGGTGTATGACTGTGGGAAAATCACCTAGCTTTCTTGTGTCTCAGCTCTTCCCTCTATAAAGTGGAGCTATTTCATAGGGTTGCAAGGATTAAATTAGTCAATATGCGCTACTTAAAACAGTGCTTGACACATATTATACACTATAGTAAATATTAAAAGTTTTTTTAGGAATGGTTGCTAAGTTCTATCAAGTTATAAAAAATCAAAAAGTTCCCAAAAAATTGAAATTTTCTTGTATTCCTGGGATAAATCTATTTTTTTTTTAAGTTCAGAAGTAGATTCAGTGTGCCAAGTTTTGCTGGCTGTGCAAAATGAATTTGGAATTTTTTTTCTTTTATTACTCTGGAAGAGTGTATAATATAGCAGTTATTCCTTGAAGGCTAGCTGGAAATGACACATTTAGATAGATAGATAGATAAATTTTTTCCTGGTATTTGGATGTGGCAGGGTTTAGGTACTTATTTTAGCATCCTTTCAGTTTTTTTCAATGGTTATGTTCTAAAGGGTTTCTACTTCTGTGTAAATTTTTCTAATATGTATCTGGAAGTCATATTTACTATTCTGTCAAACATTGGCATAAAGTTATACTTAGTATCCTGTAAGATTATCTTCCTCTGTTTTGTATATGTAGTTAGACCTCCTTTTCCATATATAGCCATTTCTCAGTATCCACAGGGAATTGGTTCCAGGATGCCCCTCCTCAGATACCAAAGCCCTCAGATGCTCCCTTACACTCAGCCCTCCATATCCTTGGAATATGTGGATGCAGAACCCATGAATACAGAGGGCCAACTGTATAATGTTTTACATTTTGGTTTCCTTTCCATTTTTTTTTTTCGTTTCAGGATTACCAAAGGTAGTTTATTTTGTTTCCCTTTTTTAAATTTCATTTTTCTTGAATTTTTTTTCATATGTTCTTTTACTGCCTCAAGTTGCTGAGGCTTTGCATTGCCTTCAAATACATTTGTTATTTTCCTCATTAGTAAATGATGAGGGCTTTCCAGTCCTTAATTTGTCCATAAATAGGGAAAATGGATTTTCCTTGTATCCCTTTATATTCCAAGTAGGTGCTGTTAAAACTGTCCCTTTAGATCTGAAGCTAGAAGGTTAGTTGTAAATTTATATAACTATGTACTTCAGCAGTAGAGAAGCAGCTTCACATTTTTCTGAGCTGGTTGAAAATTCTTCACTCAGGGCCAGCTTTTAAATCTAGCTTTCTTTTTGGCTCAGCCTCCAGGCTAGTTATCCAGCGGAGCCTCCTTCCAAGTTCTCTGCCTCATTGGAAATAGCTTGGTTGTGAAAGAAATGAATGTGGAAAACCCTTCAGTAACAAGTCATTACTCCACATTGGAAACAAAATCTTTTTTTTTAAGTGACAGGTCTCACTCTGTCACTTAGACTGGAGTGCCGTGGTGTGATCATGGCTTACTGCAACCTCAACTTCCTAGGTTCAAGGGCTCTTTGCACCCCAGCCTCCTGAGTAGTTAGGACTACAGGCACATGTCACCACACCTGGCTAACTTTAAATTTTTTTTATAGAGACAGGGGTCTTACTATGTTACCTAGAATAGACTTGAACCCCTGGCCTCAAGCAATCCTCCTTTGGCCTCCCAAAGTGCTGGGATTACAGGTGTGAGCCACCATGCCCCGCCCTAGCAACTTATTCTTACGATATGTGAAAAACCATTCAGTTGTAGCAAACATCATACACCAGAGACTTTGTTTGACGTCAGATAAATTACATGGGTTAGAGAGCTTTTTGGTTTTTGGAGGTCAAGGAGTCATGAGCTTCTATATTTTACACATATTTCTGAAAAATATTCCTGAAGTAAAAAAATTTTCTGTTATACAACACATAGTTTCTGGTACATGAGGGAATCCACAAAAAAAGGTAGCAGTAAACAGCGTTATAGAACTTCCAATTTAATATTTTTTTAGTCAAACAATTCAAACCCAGGAGACAGTTTAGGTGGTCAAACATGGTAAAGGTGCTAGGAGTGGCATACTTATTCACTTATCTCTTAAACATTCAAAGAAAATATTCCACAGCCACACTCTCTTCATAAACTCCAGCCTGGTCATTCAGCTGCTAAATCCAGTAGGAAAGATCAAGAGATGGTGGATGTTAACAAGTTATTGAGTATTGTCCCACATTGGGAGACAGTTTCTGTCAAGGTGTTGACATGCATTCCTGAAAACCTCTAGGGGTTAGGGACAGAGTATGAATTTGTCAATTGTGAATAACCACATGGCACTATTAAAAAAAAAAATTGAAAGTAAATCCCCTATCCCTAACATCAGGTCATGTTCTCCCCTGATGGGGACCAGTAGAACTTGCCACAGCTGGGTACAGGGAAGGTGCTATGATTACAACTGGCTCCAGAAGTACCTAGTGGCGGAAGTACTTGATACAGGGTAGAACACTTTAGATTTATTTTTCACCAAACCACAACAGTCCTCCACTAATATATGCACAGGGTCTCTTTACCCAGGTTAATGCCAAGTAGAGTGAGATGCGGACTCCCTTTTAAGGCATGAGTGCTTTACGTGAAAACACAATAGGAGAGCAATGTATGATGCCCCACCTTTCTGGCCTATGGATATTCATGAAATGATACCTGGTTAAGAATTGTCAACTGACTAAAATTACAATGTTTTTTCCCTGTCAGATGGCCCAGTCCACAAACTTAAAATGACCTGACCAACTAGATGTTGATTTCATTTACCCAAATGAGTTAGAATTTCTTTGGCAGATAGATGTCATAATAAAGATTGAAATTGCTGAGTATTTAGGCAATTGTGACACAAAAAAAACACCCTGATTTCTGAGCAGTGACATCATACTTGACTGAATGAATAGATTTTTGTAGGAAAAAGTATGCTTGTGGATAAGGGCAACAGAAGCTGGATAAAGGCAGGCTAGAATCTACTTTTAACATGCATTCAAATGATTCTTATGTTCTCTAAAATTTGAGAATGACTGGACTAGAATATTAAGGAGCAATCATTTCTGCCTGGGACCAGATGTGGGTCAGAATGAATGACCCCACCCACCCAAATGAAAGTGTAGGTGAAAGGCTTGACTAAGTAAGTTGAAGATCACAGCTGCACTAATGTACATGAATATTCTTAAGTGTTTCCTGATGTAGTGGCAATAGTCTTGTGCTCTTCAACAGAGTGTCCTGAGTTCTACGTCCTACATCAACTGAGGGTGTCAACTTGCGGAGGACTTACATCGAAATCTCTTTTTCAATCTCTATAAAATGTAGCAGAGTTGTGCCACCTACATGAGCCAATGGAGAGGAAAGCTCCTGGTATAATTTAAGTATTCTACAATATTAAATATTGAGTATTTGTCAATTGATGAAGTACTTCAAAAGCTTGATTCTCAGACTCCTTCTTAGATAGATTATTCCCTAGATTGTCTCATCCTGTTCTGAAAACTTTCAAATTTACATCTTTAGCTGAATTCCAGAACTCTAGACTCCTATTCCAACTGCCTGTTTGGCATTTCCTCTTTGATGTCTAATTGACATCTTTAACTTAACAGATCCAAAACAAAACTATTAATCCCTCTCCCTAAACCTGTTCCTTTCAAGCCACTCCATTTCTAAAAGACCATCCTATGCTAGTTGCTCAGATCAATAACCATGGAGTCACCAGTAACCAACATTCCATTCAGTAAATCATGCAGGCCATACCTTCAAAATATATGCAGAACCATTTCTCACTACCTCCATCACTTCTAATCCTGTCCAAGCCACTATCATTCCTCATCTGGAATATTGTAATGGCCTCTTAATCTCTCTGCTTCTCCTCTTACCCACCTTCAGACCGTTCTCAAAAAGACAGCCAATGCAAACTAAAAATGTAAGTCACAGAGCAAAACTCATGCAAGATTTGTATTAGAATGGCTAAGGACGGACAGCAAAGAATTCACAGAATTTATAGGAACAGGTTTCTTGGCTTCTTTCATGTCTCATAGCTAACAAGTCTTTGAATATGTTGCAAGGGAAAAAAAATTAGATCATGTCATTCCTCTGTCCCCAAGCCCCCCAACTGTTAGAGCAAATCCAAAGCCCTTACCACAGTCTACAAGGTCCTCAATGTGCACCCTCTCCACCCCACTCCTGATTAAAGAATTTTGCTCCTTTGCTACCTATGGGAATACTCTTCCCCCAGATAGCCACATAGTTCAATTGCCCACTTCCTGTCTCTGCCCTCCCTGTCATCTAGAAAATAATCCCACCACCATCTCCCTCTCTCCCTTTACTACTACGTTCTGCATATTTATTTATCATTGTCTCCCTTGACTTGAATGTAAACCCGATGGGGCAGACAGTTCATTTTCTTCACTACTGTATTGGCAGGGCCTGGAACAGTGAGTGACATAGTAGGCACCCAAAACGTCTCTTCATATGCTGCTAATAAACCATAGCTGATCCTGGCTTTGAGGCTGAATGACGCAGATCTGTGGAAGGAAAGATGATCTCTCTGCTCAGCAACCGGACCTGGGGGTGTAACTTCAGGGAGTCTCAGCCTGAGGCTCACAGCCTGGCCATCCAGAGGCTGGGTCTCTTTCCGCCCTAACCAAGCCCCCCGCCCACCTTCCACCCCTTCCAGCGCCCTCCTCACATTGGCTGAACTCGCCAAGCCCTCCCATCCAATGATAGGGCAAAGCCCGGGAGGGAGGCGGGGCCAGAGCGCTGGCGGACCTCGCTGGGCTTCCGAGGGGCGAGGGGACTCCAGCCCGCGGGCACAGAGATGTGAAAACCTCACGCAGCCTAGAAGGGCCGGAGGGGCAGGTGGGAGTTAGCTGGGAGTCGCTGACGCAGTTCCTTCTGCGCTTTGTTCAGGATGTGGGTCTGGCGCTTTCGGTGAGGGGTGCTCCACAGCCTGGCGTGAGGGGTTGGGCCGGGTTCTGGGAGCGTGTGGGAGACGCAGGCCAGGGGGCCAGGGCTCCTCTGCGGCTGCCCGCTACTGAGATGGCGCGGCAGCCAAGGGGTCGTTGCGGGCCTCCCCCTTCTCTCGTTATTGCTGCCCCTTTGTCTTGGATCTGGTCTCTGACTCCTCGTAGCTGCTCGCTCGGACCAGGCGGGTCGTAGTGACAGCACTGGGTCGTCCCCACTCCTAGGCAGCGGGCCGTGGGGTAATAGCGGTCGGGTCCCGCCCAGGCTCTCAGCGGACTCCACAGCCCCTGGGTGTGTGACTCAGATCACCAGTCCAGTATCCCTCCCCCTACCAGTGAGGAACCTGGGGCCCAGAGAGGAGGGCGGAGTCTCGCCCAAGGTTACTGATTCATTCGTTCAACAAATATTTATTGAACACCAACCCAGTAGTGTGCTAGGTCCTGGGGTTACGGTTGTGTACAGGGCAGAACTAAATTCTGGTGGAGGAGAAATGGAACAAGCTTGAAGGGTTAGAAGCAGAGCCTGGGGATCTGGAGCGGGAAACACAAAACATATTTGAGGCTTATTAATCCTAAGAAATGGGTAAACAGAAAAAGAAACATTCTTTTTCTAGTGGTCCTTTAAAGTTTTATTTCTTTCTGTCTCCCTGAAGACACTTGACTCAGCAAAGTTTTCCCTCTCATCCCCCCTTGTGCAGACTTTCTGTGGAATGCTGGATTGCAAAGCAGTTCTCCACTGCATTGCATTTTGCAGCTAGAGGAGAATATGGAAGCTTTTAGATATCAATGGAGTGGATGAAAAGGGGAGGCTGTGGTGTGATGGAATTAGGATTCCCTGTAGACACAGAAGGCTCTTCATCACTCACTAGCTATAGGAGCTTAGGCAAGTCGTTCAGTGCCTGGGAGCTTCATTCCCTCATCTTTACACTGGAAATGATCCTTCTTATTGCCCACAGTTCTATAGGAAAGGAAGCTACCCAAAGATGGAACACTGCCCTGAGTGTCCACTTGGAATTCAGGTCTCAGAGAACTCAGTCATTTATATCTGTTTACAGTGACTCCAGACCCTCTTAGGAACTTCTTCACTGAACCCAAGGAGGAGATCAGGCAAGAGCTGTGCTGGGCAGATCCTTTGGATTGTGGCTGCTGTGCACAGGAATATGGGTGAGTCACTCCGTTCTCTCCTGGACAGGTGAGGCCTAGATTGTGAAGTTAATCTGGGCACAGGAATCCTGCTTGTGAGCACCAGGGTTTAAAGGGTGCTTTTCTCAGTGGTTATTTATCAAATAGGAGAAAAGCACTGAAGTGGGCAGGGGGCCTCTGGACCTTGAGGAGTAGAGCTTTGTTTGAGATGGGAATAAGAGTGACGTAATAGAACTCAAAATTGGGTGTCATGGGACTTGGATTTGAGTTCCAGCTCTCCTCTAAGTTCCAAAGTTTCCATCTGTACATTTGGATATAAGACTGGGAAGACTGGGAGGTTTTTTCCAACTCTAACATACTGAGAGTCTCTGAATAGTGGGATCAGGTCAGTCTCTTAGGGAATTTAGTCCCTGGGGTGGCTCTGTTGAGATAGAATTGCCAACAATGCAAATTCACCATTATGGTGTTTCCCAGACAATATGAAGCACAAAAAGGAGAAACATGTAGAGAAGGGATGGTGGTAATGATGTGAGGATTTGGCTCTCAGCATCCGTATGTGCACTCCAGGTATTAGATAGAATCTTAAACTTATTAATTTACCATTTCAAATCAAACAACACCGACTGAGCCCTCTTTGCATCAGACACTGTGTGGTATCCACAGGCAAATCTCATGGGCTCCGCTCTCCGAGGGCGTAGAGCTTAATGCATACATGTGAAGAGGGACACAGACATACACTCAAGCAATTCTAGTATAAGGCAAACTTTATATTATAGATTTGTTGTGGTGTTTTTGGAAATAAAGAAATTTTTGTCAGATATATGAGCTTTTTCATATGGTGTTAGCCTTTGTTTTATACTTGAGGCTTAGACCTTTCCCTGAGATCAAGTAGTCCCTTGATATTTTCTTCTAATTCTTTGTTTTCTTTCAATGTTTACATTTCACTTATCTATCCCTTGAATTTATTTTCAGGTATTTCCTCTTATTCCTTACTCCACTGCACCTAATCAATAACCAAGGACCATGTAACCATTGCTCAGAGGCACAGGCAAGTGATGCTAGTGAATTAAAGGAAGACAGCCTCCGAGTAAAGCCTGCCTTTCCTCCCCCCCTCCCCACCCCTTCTCCTCTCCTTCTCTCTCCCTCCTCCTCCCTCTCTCTCGGAATAAGACTCTACACTTCGTGGATTTTTCACAGCCTGAAATGGATGGTGGTCCTAGAAATAGAACACATACCTTCCAGTCTCAGAGATTTGTGACTTAGAGATCTGCAAGGCCTTATTGGTCCTCATGTATTCACTGGCTGCCTGAGATTTTGCTTTTGTGTACAGTTTCCTAGATTCCCTTAGTGTCTTGCTGGCCCATGGCCCCATGTTTCTCACCAAACTTCTCCAGCCAAGACCCTACTTCCTTAGAACCTGGGAATTCTAACAGGATTTCTGAGGGAATTTGCCATCCAATCAGGTAGAGGGCAGCAAATAGGTTTCTTTTTGATCAAATTCTCCTCATTTGGCCCTCTTTGATCTCCTTTCTGGTCCTGCTTCCTCCTCAGCTCCTCTGTCACCACCCTGGGCTTTTTCACAGTGCATCGCTGTGCATTTCCCTTTCTCCCTACCTGCCCTTTTGTGTTAGGCCATTCTTGTGTTGCTATACAGAAATGCCTGCAACTGGGTAAACTGTAGAGAGTTTAAATTGGCTCATGGTTCTGTAGGTTGTACTGGAAGCATGGTGCCAGCATCTGTTCAGTTTCTGGGGAGGCCTCAGGAAGCTTGTATTTATGGTAGAAGATGAAGTGGGAGGAGGCAGAACATGGTGAGAGCAGGAACGAGAGCAAGAGAGGAGATATTACACACTTTTAAACAACATGATCTCCTGAGAACTCATTCACTGTCACAAGGACAGAACCAAGAGGGTGGTGTCACAATAAGCCATTCATGAGAAATCCACCCCCATGATCCAGTCACCTCCCAACAGGCCCACCTCCAACATTGAAGATTACATTTCATCTTGAGATTTGGAGGGAACATCTAAATGATATCACTCCTCTAACCCAAATCCCTTTCTCAGTAAGCTTATGTGTTTTTTTATTTTTAAAATTTATTTCTTTATTTTGAGACAAGTTCGTCTCTCAGGCTGCAGTGTGGTAGCATGATCATGGCTCTCTGCAGCCTCAACCTCCCTCACCCTCCCAAGCAGCTGGGGCCACAGGCATGTGCCACCACACCTGGCTCACTTTTTAAACATTTGTTACCCAGGCTGATCAAACATGTGGGCTCAGGCAGTCCTCCCACCTCGGCCTACCAAAGTGCTGTGATTAAAGAAGTAAGCCACTGTGCCCGGCCCTCAGCAAGCTTATTTTCATGATTCCCTCTATCCTTTCTGTTTTATCATTCTTAAATTTGCCTTTGTGATACATTCTTCTTCCCCTTGTCTAAAATGTTTTTGCCTGTCTCCCTCTTGCTTAGTGTCACTACCACACTTGGTATTCATACTTGGATCTGATGACCTTGAATTGTTTCCTTCAGTCCATCCTCTGTTTTCAAAGGATATATGGATGTGTGCATTATACATGTGGATGCATTCCTAAAAATAGCAAGACTTCATCGTTCTCTGTTCTCTCATCTTGGATTAGGGTCTTGCTATCTTATTTATTTGTTCATTCATTCAACAAACATTTACTGGGTACCTACAACATGCCAGGCCCTCCAGTGTTCATCCGTACTGCATTCCTAGTGTTGTATCCTAATTCATTTCCCTTCCTCTTTTCTTTTTAACCTCCTCTAATCTATCTGGCTAATATTCCTAAAGAGTTCTTTTCCTCATTTCACTTTTGGGTATGGTAAAGCAAAATTTATTGTCTAAACTGGGATACTTTTGTGAGTTAAGGGGGCCACTATTAAATGTGATGCTGAGATAGTAGGCTTAAACTAGCACGATGCTGGGAAAACCAGGATATATGATTGCCCCACTTGACATCTCTTGGATTCTTTACTTTCTGTTTCCCTCAATTTACTCCCCATGGGTTATCCCAGCTGCCCCTCTCCTCTGTTTTCCATTTCATTAAGCTGAGAGAAACATGCATGTTCTGGGAAGTGGTGGGGGAGGACCTAGGGGAAGTACATGACAATGCTTGAAAAACTATATTGTTAAGTGAGAAAAAGAGGGAAAATAACAAGAGTGGAGAATAGCAAGGTAGAAAAAAGAATATAGAATGGAGAAAGAAAATTAAGGATAGATTTCACCCTTCTCTTTAGAAATGGTTTCCCTTTGACCATCAGTTTGTATTCATATTTTTCATCTTGTAATTTCAGTATTCTGGTTGGAATCACTTGAGGCAGCTTGATTCTTTCTTCATTTGCTCATTCAACAACAAAAAACATTGAGTGTTTACCATGTGCCTGGGACTGTTGTAGTATTAGGAATATAGGGTAAGCAGGATGGACGAAAATCCCTGCCTACTTGAAGCTTATGTAATATTATGATCTCCTATTTATTTTCATGTACAGTATACCAACCCTGTGCCTTTTTTTCCTCTTTTTTAGAAAACACTGTTTGTTATCCAGGGCTCAGCCAAAATTCTGCCTTTTTAAAATGCTTTTCTCTTGCTTATAGCCATTACTGGAGATACTGAAAAAAAAATGCTTTTCTCCATCATTCCATACCCTGGTAATTGCTCCCTCCGTCCCCTAGTCCCCTTCATCTCCTGCTTGGGTAAACCGTAAATTTGAATTTGCTCTCTTACTTTTTTGTCATACTACTCTATTGTAAGCTCTTTATAGGGAAGTATAAATTTCATGCTTTATTAGTCTGCTTGGGTTACCATAACAAAATGCCATAAACTGAGTGGCTCAAACATCAGAAACTTATTTTCTCACGGTTCTGGAGCCTAGAAGTCTGAGATCCATGTGCCTGGCCATTTCAGTTTCTGGTAGGGGGCTCTCATCCTGGCTTGGAGCTAGCCATCTTTTTGCTATGTATTCTCATGGCCTTTGTGTGTATGTGTGTGGAGAGAGGGAAAACATTTGAGAGAGCTTTCTTGTGTCTCTTTTTATAAGGACACTAATTCTTTTGGATCAGGGCCCATCATCATGACCTATTTAACCTTAATTATCTCCTTAGAGGCCCCATCTCCAAATACAGTCACATTGGGGGTTAGAGCTTTAACATGCAAATGTTAGGGTGACACAAACATTCAGTCCATAACAATGCTTCTTTAAATTTTCCCTGTATTAGACCCATAACAGGGATATATACAGAATAAAGTGCTCATTAGTTATGAGTTTAAGAAATATATGAATAAAAGAGAAGTTTCAGAGAAGATTAGAAACTGAAAAGAAATTCAGAAAAAAACTATCACTTTCTCACAGAACTCTGGAGGTGAGTTCACTTGCACTCCTGCTCTGCACTGCAGTCGCCTGGCTTTGCACTGTTTTTTCCACCTGCTTCATCCTATATGATTAGGAGAGGTAGCAGCAGCTGGATATGAGTGAGCCCAGGATCCTGCCAAGAATTCACCCTCCGTCACCATTGTCTCTTCCTACCCTTCATATCTTGGGCATGAGTTTGTGTGCATGTGCCTGTGTATGGAATCAGTGTCCACCCACACTTCTGAGATGTGAACTTGAATATGTGCAGTTATCTTTTTCCTAGTCTCAAGTACCACGATTTGCTATCTCCCTTCTCCAGAAAGTGGTTCCATTTATCAGAAGGCTATGGGACAAAAATTGGTCAAACTTTTTTTTTTTTTTTTAAGACAAAGTCTTGCTCTATCACCCAGGCTGGAGTGCAGCGGCATAATCAGGGCTTACTGCAACCTGGACCTCCTGGGCTCAAGCAGTCCTCCCACTTCAGCCTCCTGAGTAGCTGGGACTACAGGTGCACACCACCATGCCTAGCTAATTTTAAAATTTTTGTAGAGATATAGTCTCCCTGTCTTACCCTGGCTGGTCTCAAACTTTTGGGCTCAAGCGATTCTCCCACCTCAGCCTTCCAAAGTGCTGGGATTACAAACATGTGCCACTG